AGTAGAGCTACACGGGTTTGCTGATGCGTCCGAAAAGGCATATGCGGCAGTAGTTTATCTAAAAGTGGATTCTCAAATTGCAATCGTGGCTGCGAAGAGCAAAGTTAATCCTATTAAAAATACCAAGACCCTCCCAAAATTGGAACTAAGTGCTGCCCACCTCTTGGCGAAACTGCTACAAAAAATAAAAAAAGTATTATCATCAGCGGCGGCAATTTATGCTTGGAGTGATTCCATGATTACGTTGGCATGGATAAACAACCCAAAAAATAAAGATAAATTTATTAGAAACAGAGTAGTGGAAATTATGGAACGAATCCCTAAAGCGAAATGGGCTTACGTTAGATCAAAAGAAAATCCAGCTGACTTAGGCTCCAGAGGCGTTGCTCCTGAGATTTTGGCCAACTGTCAATTATGGTGGAAAGGGCCGGAATGGCTGATAAAAAATGAAAATGAATGGCCCAAGTTAAATCCGTCAGTAGTGGCAGCAACGACAAAAATTGCGGCAGTAGAAAAAAGCGTCTATGAGCAACTTATGAAGTTGTCATCATTTAAAAAGCAGTTACGAGTCATGGCTTATATTCTACGATTTATTAAAAAACTGAGAGGAAATAAGGTAAAAGGTGAGCACTTAACTGCGGAAGAAATAGAAGAGGCCGAAATTGCTTTAATCAAAATGCACCAAGAAATTGAATGGCCGGCGGAAATTAGTCAGCTAAAAACTTCAGGAGCAATAAATCATCGAAGCAATATAGCATCATTGCATCCGCAGCTCGACGAATATGGGGTTATGCGAGTAGGAGGAAGACTGGGTTGGTCAGAGCTAACCTATAACGAAAAGCATCCAATACTGATTCAAAAATCACGATTAGCTGCGAATATTATAAGGAGAGCTCATATGGAAACATTGCATGGAGGAAATCGGCTGATGGAAAATGTTTTAAGGCGCAAATATTGGATAATCGGAGCCAAAAATAGAATAAAACTCTGCGTCAGGTGCTGTCCACGATGTACGCGCTATAGGGGAGAAGTACGAAATCAGTTAATGGGAAATCTACCAAGGAGTAGAGTGAATATAAGTCAACCCTTTCAACATTGCGGAATAGACTACGCGGGTCCGTTTCAAATACGATGTTCGAAAACGAGAGGAACCAAGTCTATGAAGGGTTACGTAGCAGTATTTGTGTGCATGGTGACGAAAGCGGTGCATTTAGAGGCAGTTAGCGAGCTTACGGCAGAAGCATTTTTAGCAGCGCTGAGAAGATTCTTCGCAAGGAGAGGAAAATCAAGCGATTTATATTCCGACAACGGAACGAACTTTGTCGGGGCATCAAGGCAGCTAGATAAAGATTATATAGAGGCGATAAAAAGCAACAATACGTTAGCGCCAATTCTGGAGAATGAACAAATAAAATGGCATTTTATCCCCCCGGCAGCTCCTCACTTCGGAGGAATTTGGGAAGCTGCAGTTAAGTCAATGAAATACCATCTTAAAAGAATCATTGGCGAGATAAAATTAACGTATGAAGAGATAAGCACGGTTCTAGCTCAAATTGAAGCAGTTTTAAACTCAAGGCCGTTGCATGATCTTGGAAGCGGCACAGACTATATCGACACCTTAACGCCAGGGCATTTCATAGTTGGACTCCCGTTATTAGAAGCTCCGGCGAAGATCGATGAAGGAAGTTTAGCATGTGTGAGCAGGTGGAAACTGCTGCTACGAATAAAAAACCACTTTTGGAGAAAGTGGAAAGAAGAATATTTGACTACTTTGCAAAATCGCCCAAAATGGAGAAAAGAAGATCGCAATCTGGAAGTGGGACAGATCGTGCTGATCAGAAATGAAGAGACTCACCCAGCTCGTTGGCCATTGGCGAGAGTGACTGAGGTACAACCGGGCAAAGATGGAATAGTGAGAGTAGTTACGTTGAAAACACAAAATGGAGAAATAAAAAGACCAGTACATAAATTATGTCCATTAGAGCACGAAGATGAGAGACCTGAAGAGGAGAAGGTAGAAGATACGCTGAAAAAGGAGGTCGAAGTGAACTCAACAAAGAAGTTACCAAGATTACCAGCAAATTCCTTTATGATATGGACTATGATGATAAATCTTTGTCTGATTATGACGACTAAGGCCTCATCAGTAAAAGAATTAAATAGTTCGACGGCAATATATCTTGATCCAATCTCTCAAATCCACATGGCCTCGTCTTCATGGAACATGGTTGTATATTTTGAAATGAAAACGTACTTAGAAACACTGGATCTTGCATCCACATTGCTCAACGCCTCTAAAGAAATATGTCCAAGGCTCCAAACATTTGAAGACCAGTGCTGGTCGGTAATAAACAATATGGAATATAAAGTAAACAAAATCAAGGCGAATAATCGGCTTTTCATGAGGGATGATAAACGGCAAAGAAGAGGAGCCCCATTGAAGTTCATAGGGTCTTTTCAACATTGGGCATTTGGTGTGATGGACGACGATGATCGTGTGGCGATGGAAAATAATATGAGAAATCTGTTAGCCAACCAGTACGACTTCAAAGAATTGTCAAAAAAGCAGACATCGATAGTTGATTCCACGGTCAATCTGCTAAAAAGAACAACGGAGGAAGTCAATTCGCACTTTGTGGAGATAAAGTGCAAAATTGATAACATAACCGCCACCATGAACGAAACTTACTTCGTTTATAGAGAATCTATTCGTTTCTTTATTATAACTAAAGAAATCCATGAATACATAGACGAATGTGACGATGTGCTAAAGGAAGTCATTAACCTGTTACTGGACATTAATAATGGTCATATACACCCTGTGCTCATCAGTCCGGAGAAATTGCAGTCGGAAATATTTAAAATTCGAAATGAGCTACCCACGAAATATGTTTTACCCGGAAAATCTTCTGGTACAGAACTTAAGGAGGTTTTACATTTGATGAGGGGACGTGGAATGTACATCGGCACACAATTGGTGATCGACTTGAAGATACCTCTTTTCAACAGACAGTCGTCGCAGTTCTATAGAGTAATCCCGATTCCATTTGAACATGACGGTGCGGTATTGATAGCAAGGATAAGGTCGCCATACATCGTGTACAATTTTGAATTGGATTCGTTCCACTATCTGACACAAGTCATGTTGAACGAATGTAAAAACACATTGGGAGATGAAATTGTATGCGAAGAAAATTTTCCCTGGCGAGATGCGTCGACCAACAATTGCGAACTGTCACCCCTGAGGCCGCGCATCGAGATAAACTGCACGTACGATGAAGTTGAAAACAGTCCCTATTGGATACAGCTGAGGCGAAAGGGAAATTGGCTTTTTAAGACGTTTAAGAATGCAACGGCTCATATTAAGTGTTCCGAAAAGCAGCAATCCATCGTAGAACTTCCACAACAAGGTATTCTAGCCCTTGATACAGATTGCACGGCTAGAATTGACAAAGTGACTCTAGTGGCGGTCCATCAGGTAAGAAATGAAATGTCAACTCAATTTCACTCTATTCTTTTAAAGGACGTCAGTGAAGCCGACAAAGAAGCCATAAAACCCCTTGGAAACGTATTGGTGAAACATCACAATGAGATCAGCCAGCTAAAGACGCTCGTGGACGATTTGAAGAAGCAGAAACTAAATTTAAGAGGTTTAGAATTTCATAATTGGTCTGGTCACATGTCATTTATTTTAGTTACCATAGTAGTTATAATGTTGCTAACTCAGTTTATAAGGAAAATTATAATAAGGAGACGGATAGCAGCAATTCAGTTCCAAGGAAGGCCGAATGTTTAATAAAGTATCTGCCGGCCGGGAGAATGTTCATAAAAATATGAACATGAATCTTTCTTTTATCTTGTCTAGCTTAGAAGAAGTAATAAAATAATTAAGTGTCTTAGATAATAAATTGTAATGTAGATCTGTCATAAATGTTATTGCTTATTTGCTATGAATTTTAAGATAGAATTTTCAATGTTATCAATTTCCAAGAAGTCATTAAATCCATATGTGGTTTTCCCAGCCATTAAATCCATATGTGAGTTTCCCAGCCATTAAATCCATATGTGTAATCTTCATTGATCATGTACACTGGTGCATACGATAAGTTTTATGATAATAAAGGTTGTGACCCACGCACGCACTTATCTATGCACACAGTAGGTAGAGAAGGTCACTGGATTAAGAAGGAAGAGATAAGAATTATTATTAGGTTGCATTAGGCTAAGCTCGAATAACATATGTAGCTCTTAAGGACAATATTTTTTAAATAAAATCAGTACTCAACCAACATCCAAGCCGGCAACATCTTTTATTAATACGCGCGTAAACAACGCACTATGTCGCGAGTTCATATAAACAGCGGCCAAAAATAGAAGCAGTTATCGTAAGTTAATGAAATTTGGTACATGTGCTTATTATTGGCCTAAAGAGCAACTGACAAAAAATTGGATAGGTCGGACCAAGATTTGGTATACCTCCCATATAATGGGTATTGAGAATGTCGCGCTTTTTGGCCTATAAAATCTTTAATATTCAAACAAATTCAATGAAAATTGGCAATTTACATTTAATTAGGCCTATAAAGCAACTGGATGAATACAAGTGTTGTTAACAATGGTGTTGCTATAAAACTTTATGAGAACTACCAAAATTATACCTAAACCATAGCATTGCCAAAAAAACAAAAGAAAAGAAAAAACAATCAAGATTCAAATGAGCCTAGCCCATATTTAGCATCTTCAACTCGAAATGTAGCGACAACAGCGGACAAGCCATAAAATGGCTCAAATTTGTTGTTGGAGAGGAAATAATGTGATACAAAAATAACAACAACAATGAGATGTCGGCATAACCCGGATTGCTGTAAAATGGCATCGCTGAATGAACGAACGAATGAATGAATGGCTGCCGGGTTAACTTTTATTGACCACAGCACCAATGAATCGCTATAAATTGTTCGATCACAGCAATGTTCGATATTAATTCTTAACCGAATCTAAAAGAGGAAACACCTCCAGCACCACCACCACACCAACTTATTGCAGAAATCATCAACCACAACATGGCCAAATTGGTAAGTATCGAATATTTGTTGGTTCGGCTGTCTGTCAATGACAACCATCAATGGGAATCGAATATTCAAACTAAAAACTGTCGCATCGTAACATTATAATACACCAAACATATATGTGCATGTGTATGTATGTTAGTAAAATCTACATTGTAGACTGACACTGGCATTCTTTGGTATATTCGAATAATTGGGAAACAAAAGGGCTTCTTTGTTTTTGAGGTTTTTGTTCAGTTACACCACATTTAATGCCATTCCATCTCTTTGTTGCTTCCCACAGTTCATTTGCTGTCTTGCCGCATTGTGTGCCGTAGCTGTGGCCCGACCCGATCAATATGATGCCGCTGCCGAGACACGCAGCTTCTCCGCTGACATTAAAGAGGATGGCAGCTATCAATATCAATTTGATACCACAAATGGCATTGCCGCCCAAGAGTCTGGAGTTGGTGGTTACTATGCCAGTGGCTCATCGGCCTACTATGCTCCCGATGGCCAATTAATCACCTTGACATATACGGCTGATGAAAATGGTTTCCAACCATCCGGTGATCATTTGCCCACACCACCACCAATTCCCAATGCCATCCTTAAGTCTTTGGAATACATTCGCACTCATCCCCATCAAGAGGAAAGACAAGGTGGCGCCCAAGTCAAACCTTTCAAACCTGGTCAGATTTATTATAATAAGAATTGATTTTTGTTGTGGCTTCATGGTGTCCTCTGATTAGATTTAGGGTGAAACCCCAATCCATCTCCCATCCAACCACCTACAGTCCATCCTGTTTATATCCCATCCATCCAAACAACAAATATCCAAATAAAGCCTTTATTTGTCCAGCCATTGTTACATGTTATGAAAAAAAACACATAAAATAAAAAATAAGAGTATTAAAGAAATAAATACAATTATTTTGTTTTTACTAGCCGAAAACGTAAAAAAAAATTATTATTAATTAGTAGATGATATTCGAGTATACACTATCCGTTTTAGAATTTGTACCAAATCTATTTCAGACTATTTGGAGTCGATTTTAAAATGAACAAGAACACGGAATTCAAAGAATTAGCATGCTGTCCTCACGAACTGCAACAAATGGCACAAATGACCGCGGCAACGGACAACGCTGCACAAACTTTAAAAAATCCGCCCTAACTGACGGCCTTTATAACATGCAAATGAGGTTGGAACCACGTGAAAACAAGTTGAAACCATGAAAAAGCCCACGACGCAACAGCCACCGACAACGAAATCGCTCCTCGCCAACCACCACCACTCGGTACAACTGACCAAGCCCACCTTCTCATAAATGCTTCACGAGCAGAACTACTTAAACAACTTAGAGTGCGATCGTCTTCAAGAACCCTACTGAAATCTAATGTCTTCATAGTAACAGCATTCCGTCGGTATATGCTTAAAGTCTTCAATTACCCCGCACCCACATAAATCCGTCTAGGACAGGCCTCTTTTATGCAGAAACGCATTGAAAGAACAATGCCCCGCCAATAAGAAACCAGTACTTATGCCGAAGCGAAAGTCTGGCCAGACCACTACGAACATCACATAAATTCGTACGTCACCCTCCCTTTGTCACTGTCCGTCCAGCTAGTCCTCCACCTATCAGCACACCTACGAAGGATAGTTCTGTACCGACAACTATTTCCATCCACCAAAGTGGCCTGAGTAAATCACCTTCATCCAACTAAAGCCACGCTTAAGCTTATTCTTGATAGCCTTACATCTCACATCAGGATAAAGCTGCACGGCGCCAAGCAGCACTTGCAAAGCCTCTGTGAATACAGTGCGACACACTGGCAAATATGCTTACATGACGACCCGCTGACACGAAAGGAGATTATTCTGCCCTAAGACAGATGAGGCAGTTCTGTGCCATATAAGTGCACCATAAGTTGCACAGGCAACAAATAGCCCACCATATATGACACGCACAGCTCGCCTACTCAAGACCGAATCAGTTCGCAAAAAGACGATTGATGGTACCAACGACTTTTTCGGGACATTTGGACAAAGACTACCCAAAATACCAGTCATTTCGGTTGAAAAGCGTGACCAACATCCACAAAATAACTAATTTTGAGGTGAACCTTTTTTTGGGAGGCTAAACGAAGTCGCGGGCTGATATATTCCATTCTTGGTCAGATTAAAATTCTATATCGGTCCATCCATATGTCCGCCTGTCTGTCTTTTGAAATCACTATTGAGATCGAAATATTAAAGATAGGCCATTTATCGTAATAACGGATATATCGGTCCACGTTTAAGCGTAGGCCTCATAAAAAAGCGCCGCACCATTTTTGGGATTTTAAATGTTATTTTAAAAGGTTCTTCCCAGAAAATTCGATCCATAAATGAATTCTCTTAATTTTCGTACTTTGGAGTTCCGAATCCAGTTTTCCATCCTTTGTGTCTGTAATTAATTTTTTTTTAAAGAAACACACTACATGCCAAGTCCATCTTTTGACTTGTCCCTTATATAACGTTTCGGACCGATTTTAGGCATTTTTAACGTCAAGCTCACGATGGCAGGGAATTCGCTTGAAATTATATTTGGTTTGACTTACAATCCAACTCAATTGATATCGACCCACTCTGATGTCTCAGATCGTAATATAAACCAGATACGATGTACGGAAAATACATTTTATTTCCGAGGAAAAAATATATCTTACAGCATCTCAAAGTAGGCAAATTGAGGTTCAAATATGTCTCAACCTGACCAAGAATTCAGTAATTTTTAAACGGATTGAACGAGCGTGATATATACAATAACTTTGTTCTACAGGGTACAAAGGGTTAAAAAGTCAACAATTTCACAAAATTCTTTTGAATATTATAAAGAATTGGACCACATTTAAAATTTATTATATCTAAGCTATTAAAAATATGCTAACTTTTTAAATTTAAAATACATCACTTTTTCACCATTTAATATCCTCCTCCTCCAGTTCTTCCTTCTTGTTGCGGATGTGTGCGTATATATTCAATAGATTTTAATATGGCTTCCGGTATTGGATGAGGTTTTGGCAAATGTTCAGCACTCGGGTGGAAACCACGTTCATCGGCCTTATATGATAATTGATATAATTCTTCATTATCTGAATAGTAGGCAAATCCACCTTTGGCATAATGGCCACCCTCACCTTCTTCTTCTGCCGTAATACCATTTGAGGTCTCATAGTGATATTTATATGTACCACCGTGATTCAGTTCGTTAACGAAACGTATAATTTCCGTATGAGCATCCCCGTCTTCACTGAATGCAATGATACTGCAAGCCGAACAGACGATTACCAGAAAACAAATCTAAAATATTCACAATCTTTTTTAATACATATCCTTTAAAACGAAAGTTATGAAGCTTACTAGTGATTTCATTGTGTCCTTGGATTAACCTCGAGTACCTAAAGTCTAGTTAGTTTATGCAAAATAAATTTTGGTCGATTTAGTTTTTTATAGATTTAGAAACATGGACTGCAATAGCAAAGCTATTATGACACGGAGTGTGTATATGAAAAAAGCTTGCATTTGCTCATTTATATTCCTCGTCAAAGAACCCCCGTAGAAGCAGATCCGGTTTTATTAGAAACACCTCAATTTTTAGTTTACTCTAATTGACATAAACTAATAACCTCTAAATGAAACTGAAACAAAAGTTATTTTAAATTTTGTCTAAATGAAATACCTGATTTTTTTAAGTTGAGAAATTATATACGCTTTGTTCCCGTATATTTTTGAAGCATCTGCATATTAAATTTGTTATCCGCTCGAGAGCCCATGAAGTATAAATATTTAGGATCAGAATAAAAAATTGAATGTCGATTTGACCATATTCTCTGCCCATCTGTTTGTCAGTCAGTCGGTAATTGTTTGCAGAACATTTTCAATATGGGATCATGTTTTGACCTAACCCTCATATATAATTCCCGCCATTTTTAAGGTGTTTTTATGGCATTCGATGTATTTTCCAACCGAAGTGGGAGTAATTTTTCATTCCGTGAAATTGTTAGGTAAACAGCTTTTTTACAAAATGAGTTGCCTATCTAAGTCCCAATTTTAACATAGCCTAGCCGAATTTGTAATAAGTCAGTAATTTGGTATTTCGTAAATATAAAATATTAGATTGGGGAAAAAGAAATCCATTCGAAAATGTTAATAAAATCGGAGAAATGATCGAAGTTGACAGGCATCAGATATATAACTATTTTAAACCATTTACACAAATCTGGAATCATAAAGAAACTCGATGTTTGGTTGCCACACCTATTAACAGAAAAAATAGGATAGATCGAATTTCCATCTGCTATAAAATTCTATGTCGACTTATGCGTGTCCGTCTGTTGAAATTACGAAAAAAGATCGAAAGATTTCAGAAATCTTGTAAGACTTTGCTAGTAGGGGAGACTGGGGCACCTTCGGCAATCGCGTTTTCGATATGAAGCTCTCACCGTACATCACTAGTTTCGATACATAGGTATCGAATATCGAAATAAATAACTGACCCAAAGTTTGAAATTTCTAGCTAATAAGTTTATTTAGATACATGGGTTTTTGTATTTTTATAGATGTTTCTGTAATATTTCAATTCCATTTCGTAAGTATTTCGTGTATAAAACTTTTTAAATTTTTAAGACAACATTATTAGAAAGTGGTTAACTACGATGTGTATTATTATAAAAATATTTAAAAATATAATGTTTTTACAAAACTTATCGAAAAAAATGAAAAACTATAAAAAGTACATTCGGGGTACATTCGGCATTTTAAAGTGGGGCACACTCGGCCATATACAGATTGTGCAATATTATTTCCTTAAAATGGTTTTGAGTTTGTCTTTAAAACTAATCCTTTAATATGGTTCGAAATTGCATATATAAGACCAAACGTGCTTGTATTGACGAAAATGCGATAGAAAACCCCTATTTCTGATGGTGTGTGCGACCTTGAGATGTAAACGTCCGCCGCTAGAAAATAAAGTCCTATAATTCAAACATTGTGTGGCGTATTAAAACCAGACTGATAGCGATGACAATTACCCGGCTATGACTATGGTGCCGAATGTGCCACATCAAATACCGAAGCTACCCCGGGTTGGGGCACATTCGGCGAATTTGACTTTTTTACAAAACTGTAAAATTTTTTAACTAATACTATTTTTTTATATCTTTTTGGTACTATTTTTTAGAATTAAGTGTCCGAGGACAATAATCAGGCATAAAGTTGTTATATATGTTGAGTAAGTACTGAGATATAAAGCTCTAAAAAAAAGTGCCGAAGGTGCCCCAGTCTACCCTACTCGTAGAATGTTTGGTATTGCAAATGGGATATTTCGGTCCAAGTTTTGGTGTAGGCCTCATATAACAGTATCGAAAATGTCGAATCGAAAATGTGAAGAAATTCGAAAATATGAACTACTCCGACTTTAATTAGTTCACCTAATCGAGAGTTCACTGTGTTGTATGTTTATATTATAGAGAGTTCACTGCATTTCCCAAAAATAATTCCAAATTTCATGTTCGAGCTCTATAGTTTCACCCCAATTTAGTATCATTTAGTACACATTAATATAAATCCAATAGAAATCATATTTCCCAATTTCAGGATTCCAGACCGATCGCTAACACAAATATAATTGTACCAACTTTAGTACCATTCATAATCAAAACCTATACCTCAACAGTGATCCTAACTTCAAATTTCAAAAAAAAAAATTGGCTCACCCAAATCCACATTTGGTACCATTTATTACACATTAGTACGAATTTCCAAAACTTCCTTCATAACCCAATCCTACACTCACACAATGAGTATTCCAGCTCTATCGGTTCACCCAACTCAACATTCGGTACCATTTAGTACACTTTAGTACAAATTTCCAAAAATGCTTACATATTCCATTCCTACACTCCAACAAATATCCTATCTCCAAATTTGAGGATCCCAGATCTACCGGTTCATCCAAGATTTAAATTGTAAAAAAAATTAGTACACATTAGTACCAATTTCCAAAACGTCCTACATAGCTCCATTCTACATCCCAACAGTGATCTTAACTTCAAATGTCAAGATTTCCGGTCTATTGGTTCACACAAACCATCATTTAGTACCATTTATTACACATTAGTACGAATTTCCAAAACTTCCTACATAGGCCAAACCCACAACGATCCGTACTACAAATTTGAGGATTCCAGCCCGATCGGTTCACCCATAATTTAAATTTAGTACACATTCGCCCATGTGCTGCATTTCGAGTTTGCTCGAATGTGAAACATTTTCCCAAATTTGGTGTGCTCCATTCCGAATTCCCAAAAAAATATTGGGAATATAATTCGAGCACATATAGCTTTGTGGATTGAAAACGAAGTGAGATCGTACGTGTTTTTCTGAGCACGTATAAGTTGAAAAAGAACGCTGAAGTAATATTTAACGTGTTTTTACAATATTTATTTAAAAAATACCATATTTACATTATTTTTTATAGTAAAATTAAAGAAAACAAAAAAGAGCTCCTTCTGGTCTGCAGCTGTCCACAACTTGCACACACTTTGTCTTCCCGGACTTTCATTACTCTCCGAAATATTTTACACATTGTTGTGCGATCAACACTTAATTTTAAATCATTTGCCACTATCCTCTGAAACCCACCAACAGCCAGAAATCTTAAGGTAGCTGCTAACTGCAGGCTTTCGGGAATGGTACCCTTGTGTATGAAAGGACCAACTTCTCTCAAAATATCCATAAATGCTTATTTTAACACGTTCCAGTATCATTAGACTTTTTCTAATAGAAACCAGGGCAATTAATAAGCCAGCAGGCATATTTTTTCTTAATTTTGTTGTTAAACAAATTGCAAATTCTAATGAAACATATGTTTTTTTTATTGAACACATTTCGTAGCATATTGAACACAGCTATGATTTCGAGCCGCACTTTCGCTCGGAATTGAGCACACCATTTTGCACAACATGGGAATTTAAAAAAGTAGGGAATTCAAAAACTCTCGAAACATGTCACATGGGCGATTAGTACGAATTTCCTACATACATTACAATTACCTAATTCCAAATGTCAAGATTCCAGCTCTATCAGTTCACCCAATTCCAAATTGTACCAAATTTCGTACACATTAGCACGAATTTCCTACATATCTCAATCCTACACCTAAGCAATGATCCTGACTCCAAATATCAAGAAAAAAATTGCTCGTACCGATAATTTTCTGGCAATTTGTTTTGTGTATTTCGTATTTGTTGACATTTTATATATATTTAAATGTGAAAAAACAACAAATAAAAAAAAATTTTGGAAACCGAATTTTTTGGAGCAAGTTCAAAAGAGAACGATAAAAATTGCCGCAAGTAAACTCGCCTAATATAAATCAGGACTTAACTTCAAATTTCAGCATTCCAGCTCATTTGTTTCTTCAAATTAAAATTGTACCAAATTTAGTACAGTTTAGTTCTTTTCCTATAGGAATACATATGCGTATATATACATGAGTATATATACATGAGTTCACCCAAATTCAATTGGTATCAAATATAGTACCATTCACTACCTTTCTTACACATAGGTACAAAATTTCCAATCCACCTACATATCGATATTCTGTACTTCGACGGTAATGTTAATTTCAAATTTCAGGATTCCAGTTTCATCCGTATCTTCAAATTCAATTTGTACCAAATTTAGTACAGTTTAGTTCCTTTCCTATAGGAATACATATGTGTATATATGTATGTACATATATGTATATATGAGTACACGATTTCAAAACCACCTAATTATGTCGACATAACTTCTCAACCTAAACTTGCTGTCCAAATTTTACTTATAGTTCGAATGTCCAAAAGATTCTTTGCTACATCTATTCTACACTCTACAAATTTAATAGATTTAGCTCCACAAATGATACCACATTTAGTACTTTTTAGTAGTTTTACAAAAACCCAGCCTTATCTGACACCTTTGGACAAAGAGTGACCCTCACTAAAAATTTCAAGATTTTAGCTGCAGCTGTTTTATCTGGGCGTTGATGAATCGTTAAGTCAGCCAATCAGTGAATCAATCAGTCAGTCAATCACATTACTATTTTATTAGTATAGATATTCGAAGATTTTGACTACGAACTGGCTGTCCATTAATAAACATATTTAGTTAGCATATTTATTAATAAATGCGTATACATGTATTTTATTATTATTTAATATTATTTCTATTTTTTTTTTTTTTTTTTTTTTTTTTTGGTGAAACAAAAATCGGAATTGTGTATAAGCATTTATTGTTCTCCGAATTTTATTATGAACTTGACATTGAAACAATAAAACGCCAAACCAACAAGTATTACTGACTGTGATTTTTGATAATACAGAAAA